GGATGTGGGACTTGGATTGATATCCCAACAATATCCCCCTCAAACTAAGTACCACATAAACTCGTGGCCTTCTACCTCCAGCGAAATCTGGTACCCTTCTTGTACCACTTGTACTCTTGGCACCCTTATTCGCGAGGTCACCTTTTGAGGGCTTACCTCCCACAACGAACATGTCCAACCCACTTCTCTGAACCTTGGCTCTGATACCATTTATTGGGGTTTTTAAAGCCCATGTCCAACTCCCCCATTAGTATGATATTGTCCGCTTTGGGCCTAGAGGCAAAGTCCGCACGGAGTTGTTCTTGTGCTCCTTCCCAAAAGGCCTCATACTAATTGGAGTTGGACATTACTTATATACTAGACAATTCATGTCTAAACTTTGGATGTGGGACTTGGATTGATATCCCAACAAGAAATTCGTTGACAAGGCTCAGAATATGTATCCAGAGCTCGAGAACTTGGAACAAGTGTTGATGGTGATCGATATTTATATCTGCATCAAAGAAAGCAAAAGGAGAAGCTGATTTGTATGAAATCCTCGGTGTTGATCCTTTAGCTAATGATAAAACAGTGAAGAAACAATACCTGAAGTTGGCTCTTTTGCTACATCCAGACAAGAACAAGTTCCATGGTGCAGAAGAAGCATTTAAGCTGGTTTTAGAAGCTTGGTCTTTGTTATCTGATAAAGATATGAGAGAAGCTTATGATCGAAAGAGGAAATCAAAACAAGTTAAACAGAGAAGCAAGACTTGTAAGAAGCAGAAACCAACACCACATGAGGAACCATATTTTTATACTAACTGGGATCGAAATGCCAAAGAAGATGATGATCCGAGAAGTTATGATCGAAAAGAGGAAGAAGAGGAGGATCAGAGATGTTATGATCCCGAAAGTGAGTATACATTTTGGACAGTATGCAATAGATGCACTACATATTGTCAATTTGGAAAGGCTAATTATCTAAACAAAACTTTGTCTTGTCCAAACTGTAGTCAAGATTTCGTTGCAACAGAGATAATTCCAGAGATGGTCGATGGTTGTCGAGTCTATAGATTCTCAACTCCTTACGGACAAGAACAAGAATCAACGAGGAAAAACACGAGTGATACTCGTTCTTTATCTACTTCAACATCTGATAGTGCAAATGCAAATCAAGCAGGAGGAAAGTGAAAGGAAGAGATTGCTGCTGCTTTTGCTAGTGGAGATCCGAATTTCTACTCTTGAAGCAGAGAGGCATTTCAAGAAACAGACGAAAACAAGAATCGGAAGCTCTGCTTTAGAAGAAACCAAAGGACAGATGTGAAATAACAAGTAAGAAAATTACATTTCGAAGATGAATAATCCTCTGCTTTTTATCATTCAGTGAACTTTTTATTGTTAAATTTTGTTTCTTTATTTATTTGGTGAAGGTAAATTGATCAAAGTTCCAATTGTGTCATGTTTCCAAGTTTTTAAAATGAAGAATCTTACAAATGCGAATTGATGTATTCATTTTTATTGTCTTAATTGTGAATCTTGGTACTTTGGAACAATACCATAACTCTGTCTATGAAGAGAGAGGGAGCTCCTGAGCATGGACAAGGACTAGGTGATGGAAATCGCTGAGGTAAAGTTGAGAACCAAGAAAGTGAATCTTCTCCCTCTAATTAAAATCTTGTGCTATGGTTTTGGTGTTCTGTGTATGTGTTAGGACATGAAGATTCATCAAGAGATTAGCAGAGTAAGACGAAACTCTAAGGTACTTGTTTCTTAACCTTGAGAGGCAAAACTCAGGTTTTTTAGTCATTAGCTCACAAGACAGACTTGACTTAAACTTTGATAACATCTTCATTAGTGTTTAGTAGTGATGATTATTATTACATCTTCAAAAAATAAAGACTGCATCTAGCTATTAAATATTTAATTATTA